CAGACAGCGTGTCTAGACCGGATGAATTTCTTCATTAATTCAGACTGTTGTTCTTCTGCTTCCTAATTTAGAAGCTCAGCAATTAAAATGACGCAGACACCAAAGCAGCTCAGTTTGAAAGCTTTCAGACCGTAATGTTTTGGAACATTTTCTAAGCTCTTGGCCACACTTCTTAAAATTTTAATATGGTGTGTTTTTGTGACACACACAATTGATTACGTCATTGATCTATGACACAATCTTATATGCACGGTGACATTCATAAAACATAAACACTTTTAGGTCATGCTTAGAAGTGCCTGAATGTCATAGCATTACATACAAGAAATATATATTTTATTTATTTGTAAATAAATAAAATATTTAAATTATTTTAAAAAATAAATAAAATGTAAATAAAAAAAATAAAATAAGTTTTATTTATATATATATGTCAAATAAAGAAAATTTGCGAAGAGCTTGTGATCACTATCACATGTTTCCATGTGACGGTCACGCTGTGCATCTCTTTTGACCATTATTCTTGATAACTTGCCCCCAAAATTGACAATCTCCTTGGAATTGTCAATAAGTGTTCTTTTGTTTAAATGCTGTGAGCTACTCAAAGCTGCTAGTTGGTTCAGGCTTGGGGGCCAGGATCTGATTTATGAACATCCTGTTGTCTTGGGCCTCTGTGGAATTCGGGCTCCTCAGGTTTCAACCATGTTTTGACCAAATCTTAGATTGTCTGTATGTAAATAAATAAATAAATAAAAATGTTACTGATCCCAAACTTTTGAATGGTGGTTTGTCTTTTATTTTTACTGTATCTTTGACATGTACCCTGATCCCATTCCCTCAGTCTCTCTCCACTATCTCGGTCTAATAAAGGCTAAAAAAATAAACTTTCCCAAGAGTCCACTTGAGCTTAGAAGTCGTGTGTCTGTGCTGTCCATATACTGCAATGGAGATCAAAGAATAAATCACTCTGGGCATTCTGTCTCATTTTCTCTCAGGGTTAGAGCGAAAAGGTGCATCATGTGGTGTGTAACTGATGTATTACTTGAAAATATAACCTGTAAGTTTGATTCATTCTCTTCAGGCCATCAGCGGCCAGCCACAAGTGCTTCCATTCCCAATGAAATTAATAAGGGGTTATCAAAATAAGCTTGTGAGTGCTGCACAGCAACTGAAAGATGAATGATTGATATGCACTGGAATTACTTTAGTCTGGCTAACTTTCAGAACAAAAGAGCAACTACTGTATATTCTGCCTTTGAATGTGGTTTAATTTTGAGGGGGAAAAAACTCAATTGTGTGCATAGAGTCACTGTGAATAATTGGCATCACCTGAAGGTGTGTTACTTCAAATGGCTCACAATGTGCTCTTCAAATTTAATGGTCACCTCACTCAAAAGTGTCTGGTGAAGAATCTGCAACTTTTGATTAAAATATTGTCTTAAATAAATAGTTCCACTAAAAAACAAAAATGAATGAAAATTAATACTCTCTCATGTCGTTCCAAACCTATATGACTTTCTTTCATCTGTGGAACACAAAATTCTTTCAAGCCTTTCAATTCTAGCTTGATTTGAGCTCTTTTCAATGTAATGGCAGTGAAAGAAGACTCAAGTTGCCCTGAAATCAAAATTTACAATTTGTATGTTTTTTTTTTAATGGAATATTGCAGTGGTTTTTATATTATGTATCCGTGCACATAATCTTTAAATTCATGTGGCCTCAATCTTTAATCAAAGTTAAAATTTTTAAGAAAAGACATTCACAATTTCTGTATTATGCTGACTTTAACATTAGTTAATCTTGTAGTCTTTTGACCATTTATTAGCTTTGCATGGGATTAAGAACAAAATTTGTCAATATTCACTGAAAATCTTGACATTTAAGTCGGATTCATGAGCAAGTAATTTTTTTGTAATAATTACTTTTTTAGATGAATCATTTGATGCAGCTCGCAAAATGAATCACTTTTCTGTACCTTTCAACTGATTCAATGATCTGGTCACAGTGATTAACAATTCAGTGGAGGTAAAAGTATTGCTGAATAACAATTTAGATATCGGTTTGTCACAAAGCTTCAGTGAAAAATACAAGAAATTGCTAGTAAATGTCAAAATAACAGCAAATAACATTGGATTAAACTAACTTTTGAGATACACATATATATATATATACACATACACACACATGAAGGGTGAACCAACTCCAGGGTAAGGCTAAAAGCAGCCAAATGTATTAAACATCATAAACCCGTCTTTTTAGGCAAGAACCAGACATGGGTGTCATGTAGGCTAAAGATTTTTTTTAATGGGACTGAATTTGTATTTAACGTGATTACAACTTAATAAAAACGTTAGAACCTGATAATTATATAACTATCACGTGGTGCCACTGTGAGGAGCACGGAACGAGGAGAGGCAATGTCAAATTCAAAGTCTTCAATCAAGCCAAAGGAAACAGGAAAACACGTAGCACTGTAGACAAACAATTCCAGACAAAGAAACTCAACATGGGTTGGAACTAAATAGGGGAGATAACGAGGGGCAGACAGGTGAGGAGGATTATTAATAATGAGACACCTGGAACTAATCAAACTACATGGGACAGGAAGGACCAAATAAGGAAAACCGGAACATATGTGACAGATCACCCCCTCCCGGACGGTGCGTCCCACGCCGTAACAGTACCATCGGGGAGGGTGCCCTGGAGGTTCTCCTCGTCTCTGCCCTGTCCCAGCCTGCATATGTTACTGCATACTGTTCAATAATGTACTACAGAACTGAAGTATAAATATCTGCCACCTAACTACTACTTACATGCCTGTTGCAAAAGAAAATGCTGCCATTTTAGTGTAAACAGAATTTCATTATTTGCATAACTAGACTACACTTTCCACTTAAAGGCATTGTAACTTTCGCCTCTAGGGGGCACCTTTCAAAATAAGGAGACAAAAGGCATAGTGTGATGAGCCGTGACTGTGGAATCATGGGATTTTCTACAAAACCATAAATCGAGGGGTTATGACATCATTGGCAGGTGATACAATGACACTATGGACAGTCCGTGTCACTAGTTAAATTGTTTTTCTCTGGGTTTAAACATTCTTCGAAACATTTTGGATAAAGTTCACAAGTCAGCAAAACGTATAACACCGTTTTAGTGGTTTCTGGATATTTTAACAATAACCCTTACATAGTGCCTTTAATGTAACTGCCAAAAAGAGTTCAATTAAAGACAGCTCAGTGTTGATTCAGTTCTGTCCAATATGTAAAGTTCAATTATGAAGTACTCAATTGGGCAATATAGCATTGTTTACGACTACTATGAAGCCTTAACAAGCCTTTGTAAAAAGAACGGTTAGCACAATTGTTTGTAAAGCCCCAGTCACACTGCCAGCAACTTTTTCGCTGTATGTCGCTATAGACTCCTGTTGTGAAGATGCTTGTAGACGTTCCACTGCTGTAGCTCTAATGTTATTGGTAGACTGCACGTCTAGACATATCAGGACTTTTACATTTAGCAGATGCTTTTATCCAAAGAGACTTACGCGGACAACAGTCTTGCAAGTGCTGTGATGAATCCCGGTTAGTCTAATGCAGCACACATAGCAAGTTGCAATCGCAAACTGTATATTGCCAGTAAAACTAAGATATAATTTGATTATGACTAGGAATTGGACTTAAGAAATGAAGTACCATTCCGCTGTTGGAGAGCGTTATATAAACTAGTGCTCATGCATTAAATCATTACCTAAACTGCATTATGTAATTAACTCAAACCATCAATGTAGGAATCAAACACCCTTAAAAAGCCAACAGGTTCTTTGTCGCATAATTTTTTAAATATATATATCCATGTATGTGGATAGTCAAGTCATATAAAAGTGAAGTCGCTCAGGAAATTAGTCCAGTCTTGCCTGCACTCGAAACGGGGAAGCACCATGCCTATTGGTTGTCACTTGTGAAAGTCACTGTTCATGTGCATAAAATTAAACAAGTCTTAACACGCCCACATTCTGTCACCAACAGTCACCGTCGCCAGCTTTCCATTGAAAATGAATGGGAGCATGTCGCTTTGTCGCAGTGCATTGCTGGCAGTGTGAACAGGGCTTAAGGCAACAACCTTGACCGCTGTGCAGAACTAATGTTCAGTGTTTGACATAACACTTAAGCATACTACTCTGAAACATTTGTTGCTTAGTATATGGTTTCACAAAAAAAAAATAATAATAACACACACGGCAGTAAAACCATTTTGAACACAGCCAATGTAGTCAAGTCATATAAAAGTGAAGTCGCTCAGGAAATTAGTCCAGTCTTGCCTGCACTCGAAACGGGGAAGCACCATGCCTATTGGTTGTCACTTGTGAAAGTCACTGTTCATGTGCATAAAATTAAACAAGTCTTAACACGCCCACATTCTGTCACCAACAGTCACCGTCGCCAGCTTTCCATTGAAAATGAATGGGAGCATGTCGCTTTGTCGCAGTGCATTGCTGGCAGTGTGAACAGGGCTTAAGGCAACAACCTTGACCGCTGTGCAGAACTAATGTTCAGTGTTTGACATAACACTTAAGCATACTACTCTGAAACATTTGTTGCTTAGTATATGGTTTCACAAAAAAAAAAAAAATAACACACACGGCAGTAAAACCATTTTGAACACAGCCAATGTTCACAAGTCTGCCTTTTAAAAAAAAACAAAAAAAAAAAAAAATAACACACACGGCAGTAAAACCATTTTGAACACAGCCAATGTTCACAAGTCTGCCTTTTAAAAAAAAACAAAAAAAAAAAAAAATAACACACACGGCAGTAAAACCATTTTGAACACAGCCAATGTTCACAAGTCTGCCTTTAAAAAAAAAAAAAAAAAAAAAAAAAAAGTACCCTGAGAAAATAGCTTTTCGTTCTAGAAAGAGAAAGGGTACAGTAGGACTACCAGTTTCCCCACATTTACAGTACATTAAAATGGGTTAAACTAGACAGGAACACAAGAAACCATACATTTCTCCATTTATTGAAAACCAGCTATAGGTTTTTCCGTTTACTGAAAACCATCGAAAGTCTTCAGTCGCTCTTGAACCATTACAGGACCGAGTGAGGCCTTGCCTTCCCACTGAATGCCTAGTAAGCAAATACCCAAGTTAAGTAGAGCACTTAAAGTGTCAAAAGCAATCTCTAAAGTAGCTACCTACCCCCAAAAGGAGCAGCATTTCCACCATCAGGACCACAAGTGGAGTCACAGCAACCACAAGCCTGGTGGTTCCCATCAGCAGCAAGCCACCTGCAATAAGAACAATCAGACACGGCACCTTCAACATGTTCTTAAGTAGCATAACATACCCGTTGGAAAAGGAACAGGATTTGCGGAGAGCATCACTGGGTGCAGAAGCAAGAGTGGCCTTCACAATACACGTTATGTAGATCTGCAAGACAGTTAAGGAGGTCACAAAACAGATGTGAAGGTCAAATTCAGTCAGCACAGTATGTACAGAAGGACTGTGTCCTCCCTGGAACATGAAGGCCTCCAGCTGGAACCGGATCTGGTCTTCCTGGGTTCGAGGCATGAAGCGGGAGCTGGAAGCCGTAGCATCCACAAGGCACCTGATAAGCGACAGAACTCCATGTCATCTCTATAGCATCGAGTCACTAGACCTTACCCTAATTCTCAGGGACAATGTTGTGAAATCTGAGTTCCAGCAAACGCCTCAGGAGTGTAGGTAAGAGTAAAAGTGTAGACAAGCGCATCCTCAGTCATCTGTAAGAGATTGAAGGGGTTACCAAAGGAGTTCTCAACTACACAAAAAGGTTTAGCAGCAATGTCAAATAACTACTTTTGGTTCCCCAAAGCAGCTTTCAGCAAGCAGTTCTTAAAACACAAGGAATGGAAAGGTCCTGTGAATGTTAAACAGTCAAGTAACAATTGACACATAACCTTTATTCTTTGGTGTACAAATAATCCAGTAGGATTTAACGGTTCTTACCATCAGCACACTATTGCAGTCCTGTAGTTCATATTCAAAGAGGAGCACCCTAGAGGCAGAGTCCTCACCGAAAACAGGGCAGCCTCCCATAGACAAACGAGATGGCTGGATCAGTTGACCATTGCTAAACAAATCCTTCTTTACCTCCACAAGAATCCTGTTCTCAACGTATTGAACAGCCACACTACTGGGAGTCACAGGTTGCCTCAACTGGAAATCCACCACCAACTCGCTTTGCACCTCTGGAACAATGGGAAACCTCCAGTCCAAAGGCTTGATTGGACCCTGCAACAGCTGCTTCTCCTGAAAACCAAGAGGCTCTTGCACAAATCCTCTGGAGTCCAGACTCTGAAACTGAGAAGCCTTTTGCAAAGGGTTCAAGAATGCTTGAGAAGAAAAACCAGGACCTCTGGAAGCTGGATCTGACTGTGGCTTCATGCTGTGTGGACTTTGACTGTGTATCAAACTTCCCCATGCATTCTTCAGATCAAAAGCCACGATCAAAACTAACACACCTTGCAAAATGACCATCCTGACAAATGTTGACACAACATCCACCAGTGCTTGGCTTTGCCATTAAGTACAGCTTTGAATTTAGGTGACGCCTCCCCTTTCAGCTTAATTGATTACCTTTGATTCTCCTCTGGGCTTATAGAGTTTATGCATTAGCAAATGAGAACGTTCTAGTGTCACTAACCAATAGAAGGCTTGATATGGATCTGAGGTTTTCATCTACACCAGGGGTGCCCAAACTCGGTCCTGGAGGGCCGGTGTCCTGAGGAGTTTAGCTCCAACCTCAATTAAACACACCTCAACCAGCTAATCAAGCTCTTAATAGGCATACTAAAAACTTGAAGGCAGGTGTGTGGAGGCAAGTTGGAGCTAAACTCTGCAGGACACCGGCCCTCCAGGACCGAGTTTGGGCACCCCTGATCTACACTCATTCACAATTTTACAATTAAACTTTGACAGTTTGTCTATGATAGACAGTTAATGTCATTTAAAATGCACATAAGATCACACAAATAATAGAGATTATTCATAAATAATCTCTTTTTATGAGTTTTTAATTATTATTGGAACAAATTTGGAAAAATTTAGCATTCCATCACTTGCTCACCAATGGATCCTCTGCAGTGAAGAATGAGAGTCCGAACAGCTGATAAAAACATCACAATAATCCGCAAGTAATTCATATTAATTACTGTCTTGTGAAGGGGAAAGCTGTGTGTTTAAAACAAATCCATCATTAAGATGTTTTTTTAACTTTAAACTGTTACTTCTGGCCAAAATATTCATAATTGAAAATAACGCTTACTTGTAGTGAGCGTTAATAGTGCTTGATCTGTGCATATTACTAACCTGATTCAGATGAGACCAACTTTTTACTGGAGTAAGCAATATTATAGATTATGGACTCTAAGTTAAAACGCAATGATTAATTTGTTTATTATAAACACACAGGTTTTTGCTTTACAGGACATTAATTAACAAACTCCGATTGGTGGAACTCTTTATAGCATCATGGCTTATGTATTACACTTTTAAACAATTCTTTTAAACTTGGCATAAACCAAGTTCAAAGTAGGTCTATCTTTAAAAAAAATTAATATTCTTTCACAATACCCACCAGTGCTTGGCTTTGCCATTAACTACAGTTTTGACAGGACATTGATTGATGGACTGGAGTCGTGTGGATTACTTGCTGATTTTGTTTTAAAATAAATCTTCAATTGTTGCTCTTGAGTGTTAAATGGAAATCAGTTCTTGACTTTCCTGAAGAAGTAAAATGATAATGTAACATAAGAATCAGAGTCAATCGTCCTAAACTCAGAGTAATGATATTAATAGTGACACTGTGCTCTGCAAGAAACAAAATGCCCGAGATGTTGCACAAGTGACAAAACAGATTTTAAAACATCATCTTAAAGGGATAGTCCACCCAAAAATGAACATGATCTCATGATTTACTTACCGTCAAGCCATCCTAAGTGTACATGACTTTCTTCTTTCAAGTCAAGTCAAGCTTTATTGTCATTCTGCTACATGTGTGGACATACAGTGGAACGAAATGTCATGTCTCGCAGGACCACGGTGTTACATAAATAAACAAATATAAACATACAACCTAGAAGAACAATTTTTAGACCTACATAGCTTTGAACAAACTTTCTGAAGCAGTAGTCTAACTATACATATACTATAAATAGTTGACTATACATACATAACCTAAGACAGACTATACAAGTATTTTACATAATAATTGTACATGATATTGTGCAAAAGAGGTATTTAAGATTAAGAAGCAAGTAGTGGTGCATTCACAAGTAAACATTTGTGTTATCTTATTAAGTCCTTGTAACATGGAGTGTTTATAAGAAAGTGTCTGGTGCGTATAGAGAGGAAAGAGTGTGTTTTTATACAGGTGGTTTGTCCAGCCCAATCACCTGTTTGTAGCACACTCAGAATTGCACAATGTTCTTGAGGTTTTCAACAGTTTTCATGTGGTGTGGTGGGATGGGGAGAGAGAGGATCCTGGTTTCAGGAGCTAGGGGTGTGGATGAGGTTTCAGAGGGGGGTGAGGTGATTGGAATTGAGGGCTTGTAGAGTGGGCTCTGATGCTCCGGTACCGTCTTCCTGATGGCAAGAGCTGGAAGAGACTGTGGGAGGGATAGGTGGGGTCTTTCACGATACTGGTAGCTTTACTGGAGCATCGTGCAAGGAAAATGTCCAGAATGGAGGGGAGAGAGGCACTGATGATCTTTGCAGCTGTGTTTACTGTCCGCTGTAGGGTCTTGCGGTTAGCAGCACTGCAGTTCCCGTACCAGACGGTGATGCAGCTGGTCAGCACTCTCTCAATGGTTCCCCTGTAGAATGTGGTGAGGATGGGTGGAGGGAGACTTGCTCTTTTAAGTCGGCGCAGGAAGTGGAGCCGCTGTTGCGCCTTCTTGGAGAGTGATGTAGTGTTGGTGGTCCAGGTGAGGTCTTCTGTTATGTGCACCCCCAGGAATTTAGTGCTGCTGACTCTCTCCACAGTCGAGCTGTCGATAATCAGTGGGGGGTGGTCAACAGAGTTTCTCCTGAAGTCCATCACAACCTCCTTTGTCTTACTCACATTGAGGGACAGGTTGTTTGCCCCACACCATTCAACCAGTTGTGCCACTTCCTTTCTGTAGGGTGTTTCATCATTGTTGCTGAGACCTACCACAGTTTTGTCATCAGCAAACTTGATGATGTGGTTGGAGCAGTGCAGTCGTGGGGCAGCAGCGTGAAGATCAGTGGGCTGAACACAGCCTTGTGGGGTACCTGTGCTCAGTGTGGTAGTGCTGGAGGTGTTGTGGCTGACACGGACTGATTGAGTTTTTCCGGTTAGAAATTCCAGGATCCAATTACAGAGGGAGGTATTTAGGCCCAGCAGGTTTAGTTTGTTGATGAGCTGTTGTGGGATTATTGTGTTGAATGCTGAGCTGAAGTCGTTGAACAGCATTCTGACATAAGAGTCTTTGTTTTCTAAGTGGGTAAGAGCCAGGGGGAGGATGGAGGAAATGGCATCGTCCGTGGAGCAGTTTGGATTAGGGCTGCACGATAAATCGCATGCGATATTTAACGTGCATCTTGACAGAAAGCCGGTTCTGTAATCAGCGGTTTTGAGCCGCTTTCACATTGAGCAGCATTAACTACACAGAGCCGTTGTTCACTGACGAGCTGCGCAAAACCATGTTCATATTCGCACGATTTTTTGCGCTGCTCGTCAGTGAACAACGGCTCTGTGTAGTTAATGCTGCTCAATGTGAAAGCCTGCAGGTGATGGAGATTTACTTTCTGACAAGATGCGTGTTAAATATCGCATGCGATTTATCGTGCAGCCCTAGTTTGGATGGTATGTAAACTGGAGTGGGTCAAGTGTGTTGGGGAGATTGGATTTGATATGGTGCATGACTAACCTCTCATCCTAACTGTCATCTTATTCTGTCGTCTTGTTCTGTCGTCATAACAGTCATCTTGTTCTGTCATCCTTACTCTCGTCTTTACTGTCGTTCTAACTGTCATCTTATTCTGCTGTGCTTAATGTCGTCTTGTTCTGTCATCATAACCAAAAATCAGCGCCGGTAAAGTTAGTTTCATATTTTATATTCGACTAGGCTGCTTTAGGGACCGTCTGCAAATTTACCTCACAGTACAAAACGAAGTATAATAATTAATTCAAATTAATGTTTAGAAAAAAAAACTACTGTAATTCACCAAAAAAGGCTTTTTCATGTTCCAAAGGTTGTAGTATGTTCCTAGATACTGACATGTGATATTTTGGCAGTGTCTCTCGTCATATAGGCCTATGTACAGTACACAATTATTTTCATAAAAATTACTTTACGCAAAGTTTTTTTTGTAGGTTGTAGTACATTTGCAGTTACAAGACTGACTTGTGATTTGTGAAATTTTGCTCATACCTCCTTTACTGTATGTACAGTACACAAAATTTTTTTTTGAAAAAAATATAGTAATTTATCAATAGGTTTTTTCCAAAGGTTGTAGTACATTCCTAGTTATGAGACTGGCTTACTACAGGTGATATTTTGCCAATATCTCCTTTACTGTATGTACAGTACACAAAATTTTTTTTTGAAAAAAATATAGTAATTTATCAATAGGTTTTTTCCAAAGGTTGTAGTATGTTCCTAGATACAAGACTGACTTACTACAGGTGAAATTTTGCCAATACCTCCCTTACTGTACATACAGTACACAAATATTCTTAGAAAAAAAATACTGTAATTTACCAAAAGGGTTTGTTCATGTTTTAATGCTTGTAATACAGTCCTAGTTACAAGACTGACTTACTACAGGTGAAATTTTGCCAATACCTCCCTTACTGTACATACAGTACACAAATATTCTTAGAAAAAAAATACTGTAATTTACCAAAAGGGTTTGTTCATGTTTTAATGCTTGTAATACAGTCCTAGTTACAAGACTGACTTACTACAGGTGAAATTTTGCCAATACCTCCCTTACTGTACATACAGTACACAAATATTCTTAGAAAAAAAATACTGTAATTTACCAAAAGGGTTTGTTCATGTTTTAATGCTTGTAATACAGTCCTAGTTACAAGACTGACTTACTACAGGTAAGATTTTCCAATATCTCTTTTACTGTATGTACAGTGCACAAATCTTTTTAGAAAAAAGGTTGTAGTGTTTTCTTATTTACAAGACTGACTTACTACAGGTAAGATTTTCCAATATCTCTTTTACTGTATGTACAGTGCACAAATCTTTTTAGAAAAAAGGTTGTAGTGTTTTCTTATTTACAAGACTGACTTACTACAGGTAAGATTTTCCAATATCTCTTTTACTGTATGTACAGTGCACAAATCTTTTTAGAAAAAAGGTTGTAGTGTTTTCTTATTTACAAGACTGACTTACTACAGGTAAGATTTTCCAATATCTCTTTTACTGTATGTACAGTGCACAAATCTTTTTAGAAAAAAGGTTGTAGTGTTTTCTTATTTACAAGACTGACTTACTACAAGTGAACGTTTGCCA